CAGACTGTAAGTCGTTTTTTTATATTTAAAGAATTTGCCACTGATGATTCAAACGCAAGTTTTGAGCAGTGTAGAGTAGGGCTTGTTGTTTGTCATTTCTCTGATCACAAATGCAGACATGGTTTTATGTTTACGCGGCGCGATGCAACGCAACGCGTAAAAAGACAGTATAAGTCATTATAATCCGTAATTATGTCCCCACTGGATGCAACAAATGCCTCGTTTATATTGGGTTTTAATGTTTTTGTCTCGTCGCTCCGGCCGGACACGGCATCACAATATGGTAAGGGGCGTAACATTTCCGTCACACGCTTGAGGTATTCGGCCAATCACAACGCACTGGATAGCTGGCCAATCACAGCACACCTCACTTTTCAGACCGATGAGCTTTGTAAAAATCGACGTGTTTCAGAAAGGCAGGGCATAGAGGAGAAACAATAATGTACAGTATGTGGAAAATAATGTGTTTTTTTTAACCTTAAACTGCATAAACACATTTCATTACACCAAATACACAAAATAATGTTCTTTTTAGCAACATCATATGACTCCTTTAAACTATAAGTATGCTTGAAATGTGACTGCAATTCATTCCATTTTTGGTGTCATACATGTCATTTAAGTCAATTAATGTAAAATATTGTTTAATTAAATGTATAAGGACCATACATTAATGTGATCATAAAAACTATGATCAGGTCAAACATTCAGCAGTAACTGCTGACTTGCTTCTTCCATGAACACACATAATGCTCACTGATGAGTCAGCTCAACACTAGAGAGGATAGAGTCAGGATAACGTAATCCATAAATATATGTAACATATGTATGGTAATACAGTGAAGCCCACAAGTGAAAATACTTTATTTTGCAGACTTTTCTAATTTAAAGCAATGTTATTTTATTTTTTACATTTTTTTTATAATTATATATGAATTTCAAAATGTACATACATATATACACACTACCAATATGCATGTTACAAAAGATTTTTATTTGAAATAAATGCTGTTCTTTTGAATTTTCTATTCAATTTCATTAAAGAATACTGAGGAAAATGTTTCATGGTTTCCACAAAAATATGATGAATGAATGATTTCTGAAGGATCATGTGACACTGAAGTAATTGCTCCTGAAAATTAGCTTTGCATCCCAAGAATAAATTACAATTTAAAGTATTTTAAAATAGAAAATAGTTCTTTTAAATTGTACAAATATTTCACAATATTACTGTTTTACTGTATTTTTGATCAAATAAATGCAGCCTTGGTGACCATAAGAGACTTATTTCAAACACATATTTAAAAAATCTTAACGACCCCAAACTTTTGAACAGTAAAAGTGGATCATCCAATAAGACTTTAGAAAAACTTTTTATAAATATGCTTATATATAATTTGTAAGTGTTTAACTAACATTTTATATAGGTATTTAAATTTACTGTGTATTTTAATTGAATTATTGAGGAAGCAAACAATTAGCAAAATATCAGATTCAATTAAATTATTATATTTATTTTAAGACCTATGTAGGGTGTCAATTTAGCTTCCATTATTAGTGAGGGAATTACTCGCCGGTTTCTTAATGGAAGTCTTTAGTCTTCACAGTGTTGCTATGACAACCACTAGTAGCCGGTTAATGAGGGATGGAAAATGACAGTGGGAGGGGCGGCAGCAGCAGAGCAGAATAAAACGACCTCACACACTCACCAGGGGACTGAGGCTTGGGAGAGACCACTGCAAACCTCTTCGGGGACGACACAATGGGTCGGGTGATTTCTCCATCCCTTTGAAACTCCTTTCTAGAGGCTGAATGAGAAACAGATATATATATGTGTCACTATTGTGAATGAGAATTAGTTACAGTTCCTAACTATGAACACATAACACATTTAATGAAAAAATATTTTTTTATTCTAAAATATATTATTTGATTTGAATGAGTACTATCAAATCAAATAATAATTTTAATCCAAAAGCTCTGCAATCAAAATAAGTTTTATATTAAAAAAAAATAAAGTAAATGCCTAAGGTGTCCACTAGCTGGAGCCCTTGGCTCACTCATGTTCTCTTTCCGACACTGTGACTGCAGTGTCTTCAGCATGAACAGCTATGATTATATGATATGATATGGCAGCCACTAAAGAGCTCTTCAAGAATATTTTTTATAAAAGTATTTTTTTCTAAATCACCACTTGGAAACATGTTTATATTGAACTTTCCATTCATCAAATAGTAATGAAAAAATGTATCACGGTTTCAACAAAAATATTTAAAGCTGCAGTCCGTAACTTTTTTTGGTTAAAAATGATCCGAAATCAATATTTGAGCAAGTACATAACCAGCCAGTGTTCAAAACTATCGCCTTACTTTAGCCCGATTCACAACGGTTAGCTTATAATAATGTTTTCTAATTTGAGTGGTACGGGTAGGTTTTTGCGGGAAATTCGAGCATGGCACTGTCATTACGTTACTTCTGTAAACATAAAGAAGTTGTCCCGGCTACTAGGCTATCGCATGTGAGGATCCTGCTGGTGGCGGATCGTTTATAGCCTTTTCTCACAGCAGTTAGAATAATTAAATGTATCATTTTGATGGCGGACAGAAAGGATTATGTGTTTATGAAACACATGTGAATGAAATTAAATTATATTCCAGTTATAAATGTGCTTCTGATTACAGATAGCCTGGGATTACACAAGATTTATATTTTAACGACAACCAGTTCGAAGGGAGTATAATTTGCTTTTTGGGTTAAAAGAATTTCTTAATATGAAATTCGAATGGTATGACAATTAGAGATTAGACTGTGCAGAAATTGAAATCTACACACTAATACACACTCTGAACAAAATGTTTCATTCATCCAATTAAAAAAATTTAGGGTAATGATTCACATCTATATTTTTTAACTTGAGCCAATGGAAAATAAATAACTTGCCCTAAAAAATTTTTTCATTGGATGAATGAAAACAAAATTTCAGTGCACATAGTCACGCAATGCTGATGTTGTTAACATTAACATTAATAATTGGAGAATAAAGTATAACAATAATAATCATTTGCACGGTTTGATGTGATATGAGCTAACCAATATTTAGATTAAATCACCATTGGTAGCGCGATTTATTGTAATTATTTTTTCCTCAGTTGGTCAAAACAAAAGTGGCAGACTTGTTACTTGTTCAGATGACAATATACAGTTAAAATTCTTATTTGGGTCATATGTTCCAAGAGGTAGGCTAGAATCTGTGATTGCGAAGTACAGTAAATATCCACACCAGTGTGGTAACTGACTGCTACACATACTCCTCAAAACATTAGATTCATCCGTGCTGGAGCTGCGTCAGAGCACAACCCACGCAAGGAAGATAATTCCGCAAAAAGCTGCAATTGCAGGTTTTCAAACAGAGATGGCGACAAAGAGGCAAAACTTACGGACTGCAGCTTTGATTTTTTTCAGCAACTATTTTCAGAAAAGTCTCTTGAGCAACAAATCAGCTTATCAGAATAATTTCTGAAAGATCATGTAACACTGAAGACTAGAGCAATGGCTGCTGAAAATTTTGCTTTGCATCACAGAAATAAATTACATTTTAAAATATATTCCAATGGAAAACATTTTCACATTTCACATATTTCACATTATTTTTGTTTTTACTGTATTTTTATCAAACAAATTAAATTCAGCTTAATTAGTACATAACGCTCATTGATATTATATCTTATTGTTACTAAAATCATATTATAAGGAAAAATACATTTAAAAAATGAAGGAAAAAAATCTATCTCCCTCTGTGTAAGCCATGAATTGTTTTTGTTCATAATTGCTAGGTTTGCTCAATCTTCTGTAACAGCCTACAGAGTGAGCATGTTATTCTATTATCATTCTAATGATGTCTTCAGCTATCAACAAGCTTCTACTTTAGTGATTTTTATCCCATATAGACTGCAGAATAATGTAGATGTGTTTAGTGCAACTGATAATAGATAACTGTATTTACAATTCTGATATCCCATAATAAACAGACATCAGTAAGGTGAGAATACGTACAGACAATATTTACAACATTTCTGCAAAAATGCAGTTCATGTACATTTTTTTGCACACAGAGGTGTAAATGTGTGTGAAGTATGAATGCTGTTGTCATGGTGACAGCAGCATGCTCTGCCACTGACACACTTCTTCACGTGCCTGTCATGTGACTTCTGTGAGACCCAACATTGGTCACATAATAAACGAGCTTGCAGTGGCGTCACTTACCCATGGGTGAGGCACAAGGGGGCGGGTGCAGAGATCGGCGGGATGGGGGCGGGGGACTGCTGCGGTTCTGACTCCTGCTGCTGCTGCTCTCAGCAGGAGGGAGAGGAGAGCGCGAGAGGAGAGTTTCATCACTGCTGCTGTGTGGACCTGTGCAGAGAGAAATAAGAAGCTTGTGAAGCTTTGAGGAAAAAAAAATTCTCTGCTGTCCTATATCCTATTATACTTTTATTATACAATTAAATACAATTTATTATATATTTAAACTTATTATACAATTAAACATTTCTATGGTATCAGTACTATTGTTTTCTCCCTTTAATGAATCACTTATACTCATAATATTTTCATTCACAACTCACTTTGGATAAAACATCTCTTCAATGAAAATTTGAAAACAAAATGTGTGTAGCATCTGTAGTTCATCCAAGAATAAAGATAGCTAAACTAACGGTAGTGTACAGAGTTATATGCAATGCTCTGCTGATACACACAGACGAGTTGTTTCCACCTTTCTATATAGTCTGTTCATCTCAGATTTATAATGGATTTCTAGCCAGGTATCCTGATTCAACAAAGGTCTAGATTGCTTTGATTGAATGCTGACACATCCTCCTTCAAGCTCACACATCCTACAGCCCAAATAATTCAATGCAAAGTAGATGCAAGATGAGATAAATGTGACTCAAATCATGCTTAATGGGACACTGATTGTGATCAATAAAGTCAGCTGTAAAGTTGTCAAGGATTTAACTACTTATAATACAAGGTTGCTGTTGTGTGTGTTTGCTAGGGATATGACAGAAGCCAAATATCTTATTCGGAAAGGCATGGGTAATGGCTTCAAAACAAATAATGAATTCTATCAAAGAATGAGAAAAATATTTGGCAGATACATTCACTCCCCATGTTTGCTGGGTGACTAACAGGCTAACAGGTGAGCCAGAAATAGTACAATATTATACATCAATATCTAAAATTACTACGAGTGTGTGAAGTGAGTGTGAGTGTAAACCTTATGAATGAAATGAGCACGGCATGATGGCAAATCAAAAAGTCACGCTGTCCACTCTAAGAAATCAGAGCTAGCCAAGAGTAATATCATCTTGTAAAATGTACAGTGGTATAGAAAAGAATCACCCTTCTTTAAAATAATCACATTTTGTTGCTTTGTAGCCTGAGATGAAGACGGAAACAGTTTTTGTTTTATCCAGCTGTATTTACTTAGTGCAACTTATAACATCCAAGCAGAAGATAAAACACCAACACGTCAGAAAAAAAAAAAAAAAAAAAAAAACACGAGGTGGGGGGGTTTCATGGGGTCTTAAAAAGACAGAGTCAGTGAGAGAGACACCAGGACGTAAAGAGAGAAAAAGCAAGAGATTCTCAGATTTCAGTACTTTGAGATGTGATCATAGTCTCTGAGGACAATTAGGTCATACATTACTTTAACTGTTAACTACTTAATCTCTGTTAAAAATAAGGATATTACCATGTATATGAACACTTAAGTTGGAAAAAGGATCACCTCACTCTTAAAAATGACTTGTAAACTCAATCAGGTGTAGTGAATCACATTCTCAATGGCACACAAACGTTTGACTTTCAACTGTGATCAGCTGTGGTCATTTTGATTAGCTCAGCATGAAAAGAGCTTTCCTGGAGCATTCAGTGAAATCTATTATTGAGAAGTGGGAGGTATTTGGTACAACACAGACACATATAACAAATTATCCAAAAAATGTGGCTTGTATGGGAGGATTGCAAAAACTAAAAGCCACTCCTAAAGAACGGCCACATGCAGTCATGACTGAGATTTGCCAAAACGCATCTTGAAGATTCTGAGGCAGATGAGACTAAAATTGCATTATTTGGCCTCAACACCAAACCATATGACTGGCGGAAATCCAATACAGCTCACCATCTAAATAACACCGCTCCTACAGTAAAGTATGGAGGTGGAAATATCCTGTTATGGAGGTGTTTCTCTGCATCAGGGACTGGAGCACTTGTCAGGAGGACAATGAATGGGGCAAAATACCATCAAATTCTTAAGGAAAATCTGCTGCCCTCTGCCAGAAAGTTGTCAAAGGGAAGAAGGTTTACCTTCCAACATGACAATGACCCAAAGCACACAGCAAAACTGACCACACAGTGGTTGAAGGAGAAAAAGGTGAATGTCCTGGCATGGCCTATATGCCCTATTCAGACAGTAATTGTTTCTCAGGGGGACATAAGTGATTTTCACCATTTACAGTGGGTAGTTGGTGATTTTAATGCCGTCCAAATCCAGGATGTCGGTGTTTTTCTCTCACCACCTGCGTAAAAATCCCCAGCCAAATTACCTACTGTTTTTTGACAAACACCAAGGTCGTGTAGTGATTTAATTGCCGTCCGAATCCACATCTCTGAGCTTTTAAAAGGAGATCAATCCAAAAGTCCTTTTATAAATTTTTGTAAATCCTTTTTGACCACTGAAATGCACCGTACGGTTGCACTTCGCGGTAATTTGTATCAGAAAAGTGGCATCTCGTGCATTAAAAATGGACACCTACATCACCGAAGTGCTAGAATGTTTTTCATCTGCACTTCAATACAGCGACTGGGAGCTATCAAGAAGATGAAGAAACAGAAGAAAAACACAAACAATTCTGAAATGGGCCATTATCATGGCAGTGACAGGTAAGTTATACAGTACATTTTAAAAATATATGTGGCGAGGGGGGCGTGGTTCAGCGAGGTCTGCAGCAGGAGAGAGAGTTAGGAGACGAGCGGTGAGTAAGTGGGTCAAATGCAAATGACGAACACCTGTGTCTGGTTCCAGTAATTGGCGTGGAGAGACCGCATAAAGAGGCCCAGGAAAGAGCTGTGAGGGAGAGAGAGACTGACTGCTGACTGGGGAGAGACTGTGCCTGCTCTGGAGAGCCCTGTGATCGTGATTGTGCCTGTGCAATTGTACTATATTGAGCACTGGTAGCGCAAAGTTCTGTTTTACTTTGTTTGAAGCTGAATAAAAACCCCAGCAGCAGTCAAGCCGACCCCGTCCTCTTCCTTCTCAAGACATTGACGAAGGAAGCAGGAGAGCCGCCGCCATCATGCAAACTCCGACAAGTACGGCATTTGCGGATGTCATTTCATTCCTCGCGGTCCTCTATCAAGAGCAACATCAGGCGTTACTGGACATGCGGACTGATTAGGAGCGACGCTTCCAGGTAATCGTCCAGGTGCAACAGGAGGACCGCGAGAGGTTCCGGAGCTGGATGGACCGGGAGGTTCGGGCAGAAGCTGCCCCGCAGCAGACCCCGGCTCCCCACCTGCCGCTGAACAAGATGGGGGCTCAGGATGACCCCGAAGCCTTCCTGGATCTGTTCGAGAAAACAGCGGAAGCTGGTGGGTGGCCACGAGAGCAATGGCCGGTGCGCCTGATACCCCTATTATCGGGGGAAGCGCAGGTGGCTGCTTAGCAACTGCCCGTGCGGAACTTCCTGGTCTTTGACGATCTCAAAAGGGTCATCATCCAGCGGGTCGGCCGAAGCCCGGAGCAACATCGCCAGCGATTCCGTTCGCTGGACCTGGGCGAGAGTGGCCGACCCTTCGTGCTGGCCCAACGGCTCCGGGACTCATGCCGCAAGTGGCTACTGGCTGAGGAAAGCGACGTCGACCACATCATCGACCGGGTGGTACTGTTGCACCGGGAGAGAAAGTACTTGTATTACTCCCAACTTCAAGTTCTAAATTACTTGCAAAGTGGCAAGGACCATTTGAGGTCACACAGCAAGTTGGAGATCTCGATTATGAGGTGGTTCGCAGATAGGAGCGGGGCACGTCAAATTTACCACCTCAACCTCCTGAAGCTTCCGTTCGGGTTGTTCGGGGCACCGGCCACTTTTCAGCGTCTCATGGACCGTATTCTCCGGCCCCATGCTGCATATGCCGCTGCCTATTTAGATGACATCGTCATCTATAGCAATGACTGGCAGCGTCATATGGAGCATGTGAGGGCTGTTCTGAGAGCGCTGAGAGTGGCCGGACTCACGGCCAACCCGAAGAAGTGTGCGGTTGGGCGACCCCGTCCTCTTCCTTCTCAAGACATTGACTTTGTTACAATATATTATATTTGGGCTATATTATATATAATTGATCATGTGACTGGCTACGTAAGACACGTAGTTCCAGGTTTGTAGCATTACAAACTCAGACGTCCACAGCAAATTTATCTTCATCTGAAAGCGTGTGTAATCACTAAGGAGCTATGGAGATTTATTTTTTAAAGACTTCCCCATGAGAAACAATTACCGTCCGAATAGGGCTCTAGTCAGAGCCTAGACTTAAACCCCATTGAAAATCTGTGGAATGACTTGAAGGCTGCAGTCCATAAACAGGCACCATCAGATTTAACTGAACTTGAGCAGTTCTGCAAAGAAGAATGGGCAAATATAGCAAAGTCTAGATGTGCAAAGTTAGTAGAGACATATCCCAACAGACTAAAGGCTGTAATTAAAGCAAAAGGTGGTTCAACAAAATACACAAGGGGGTGATCCTTTTTCCAAATCAGTGATTATTATTTTTTTTCTCTCTCTGACATGTTTATGTTATATGTTTCACTTTGATGTTATAAGTTGCACTGAGTAAATACAGCTGGATTAAACAAAAACTGTGTCTGTCTTCATTTCAGGCTGCAGAGCAATACAATTTGATTATTGTAAAGGGGGCGGGGTGATTCTTTTCTATACCCACTGTATGCTATGTTTTTGGTTTCATTGTGTTGTTGGTTCTGTTTCCCCCGTTGTTTGACCTAGTTTTCCTGTGTGTGTGTTTGATTCAGTCTCATTCAGTTCACCTGTTGCTTATTAGTTAACTAATTGGCTCCCTTTGTTTGTTCATGTTTAAATGCCTTCAGTTTTTGTAGTGTCCTTTGTCCGGTATTGTTTGTATGTTACTACGCCTTGGTTGTGAAGTCTTATCTCTTCTTTGTGGATTAATTAAAGCCTGTTTGGACTCGCCTTTGTCTTCTTTGCTGTGTTTGTGCCTAAGCATCGTTGCATTGTGACACCACTAATGTACTGAATCATACATATTTTCTGCTATTTGATATGTCTATTTAAATGTCTAAAACCTTGTGCTAATCAGTAATCATAATATCATTACCC